GAAGTTTGCAATTTTCAGTCATTTTAGATTACAAACGGTAAAAACATACCCTTTTTCCGAAGGAGGTATGTATTTCCCGCGCGTAATACAAAATGACTGAAAATGACAAACTTCGCAAGGCTATATTATCCGCATTTTACAACATTTCGCAACGAAACTTCGGAATATTACTAATTTTGTGATGCTCTTTCAAGCTGTGATAAAATTTTTGTCTCGACTTGTTGAAATCTAAATTTTAGTCAAAAGGTGAAAGGTCCATTCTTAAAATGTTTTGCTAGACTGCGAGCAATCCCTCTATTTTCCTTCGTTTTATTGTTTCCCGGACTAAGACTGAACGCAGTCCGGGAAACAATAAAACGAAGGAAAATAGAGGGATTGCTCGCAGTCTAATGTTTTGCTAAATAGTAAGTGAAACTATAGTATTAACTTTTGTCAGTTGCCATAGATATTTCGTGGTGCAAAAACCGGCGTTAGAAATTCGTCAATATTACACCAAGTATTTTGTTTGGAAGTTACACTGGTCAATAAACCGTGGGCTCGATCTGGGTTTGATTTTCCCGCCATTTTCTGTTTTTATTTTCCTTGAAAAAACATCTGACCCTCCTTGAAAAGTGCTAGTAATAGTCCCTAACACTACTTATAACGCAAAGGACCATGGGAATGCCCCGAGGCGTTTTTACTACTTAAAAACTCCTTAATTACCTCTTGAATTTAACTTTTCAAGACCAGCACGAATCCTGATTTCATGAAATATATAATTAGTAGCTTACCTTTTAGCCTATTAAAGCTTTCATCATCATGATTGAAAAATTATTGTTACACCTTTAACTTTGTTCCACAGTTTTCTAGCTGTCATTCAAGGGAGCGTAACAGACTAACAGTACGCTTTCTGATAATTTTTAAGAGTAAATTCTGAGATTAATTTTCAATTCGTACCAGTAAAACTGTGAATAGTTTATCTTTGTCTGAGTCTTCTTTAGTTATTCGTTAAAAACTATATTTTGTAACGTTGTTTATTTAAATTTTATCTTCGAAGAGTTTGAACTTTGAATAGCAAGCGTCGAGTATTTTGATTCAAATAAAACTTCGTCTTCGATCACAAAATTTGAATAGATTAGCAATAAGGGCAACTGAGATTAGCACTAAGCCCCAACTTGGTATTACTGAAATGGTCTATTGAGCCGCTCAGAGTACCATGATCTATTTTTTTATTTTGGTGAAGATCAACTTTATAAACTATTTACATGTAATCTTTTATAGGATTTCAAAGGCCAGTGTACGTTTTCACGAAAGGCGTGTCGGGAGAAAGTTATGATGCTTTGGGCGTGAACATTGCAGAGAACCGAAAAAACATCAATTTGGAAATCTACGATGATTACTAAAAGTCGGAAACTAAAAACCATGAAGTGTCATTAATTGACATTGGATTTAGAACGATAAGAAATTATCGTGGTTGTTTAGGAATGCTGTAAATACATAGTATGCTCTTTTTGACAGTGAAATCAGTGTCTGTCATGTTTAGTTTTTGTGTGCTTTTTATTAAGGAATAAGATTTTCAAGGCCTTGCAGGTAAACCAAAAATGTTTTCTTACTTTCCACAACACAATACTTCAGTTTATATACAGTTATTTATTTAAAGAGATTTTAAATTTACAGTACCCAATATAAATGGCTTCCAAGATATATACATTCTAACACAATATAAAACTAAAATTTGAATAATTTAGAACATATAATTAATAACTACTACTACGTGTTTTGTTAATAGTAGTTCTATATAGGCTTTCATAAGTCATTGTACTTGAGTGTATAACTATACCCAAGTTAATCTGGGCTTTTGGCATATGACTTCTGGCCGACCTCAGGCTTCCATATGTCCTTGTTTAGTTTATCGCAAACTATGCCCAAGTTATTTATGGGCAACGGCAAAAACCTTTCTTCAGGTTACGCAAACGTTCTCAATTGACGTCTTTACCTATAACGGTACCATCTTCAATCGTGAAACATTGTGGTCTAACCAAGGTGAAAAATTGTTTTCTATTTTGTCAATTGGAGACACCACGCCATTTTCTTGTACGGACATATTCTTGATTATAAATTAACTTCATGAGTATACATGAAGTAACACTAACTTATATAGCGCTTGCCTGGGACAAGTAGAAGTTGCTTCTTCGTTGCCGGGCAAGTTGTTTTGCCAAAAATTAATTACTACACAAAATTGTTTGCTTGTTTAAGTTATGCATTCTGATTTCTGTTTTTCATTCTTTATTAGTAAATCAGCTGAAATCAACACTTCATGTATGATGTAGTCTTCAAATGACTTTAAGGAAAACTTAAGATTAGAATGTTGATTGATCAATCCACACTGTAATCATTTCTTCAAATTGTGTTAATATGCGAGGGCAAAACTAGACCTGATCGCCAATTTTCATGTCCAACATGCCCTAATCGCAAGTGGTAAAAATCGTTACGTTACACCACTAACACTTTTAACACTTCATTTTTAACGGCTATCCCTGAAGAGATTTAAACTTATAAATTCCGTTCGTTATGTTCTGTTCTGTTATTTGCTATTTTGAAAAAAATATCTGCTATTTGCACCAAATATATTATTTAACCTAATTATGTATCATATAGGCCATTAGTTCAATAATGCATCACAGTTTTAATACGGCAACGTTATATCATGCATGAAGACGTCAATCGGCATTGCAAGCAAAATATGTTTAGAACATGTATGATGAAAGAGTTTTTAAAGGGAGTGAAGGTTTATAAATTTAAATACTTTGTTAGTTTCAGAAATGTTGTAAAATGAGCCTGTTTTGTTGTTTTTTTTTCTATATACAACACGTGTTTTCTGTTCTCTATCCCGTTCTAAACCCGCTATTAAAGTTCATTTTCTGTAATGCGTCAGCTTTCATTTGATTGACTCGACCAACTAGTTTTAAGGCAGGACCTAATTTCATTTGTAATCCCACAACTAAGTGCTCTTCTTTGACTAACATCAAGGCATAACCATCGATCTCTTGAGTGATAAAGCTTTCTGCATATTCACTGCACCCACTTACATCTCTGCAAATAAAAATCACACTTACAACGTAAAGTAAACTATGCTAACCTTTTTTACACTGGATAGCTCCATCAGTTCTCTAGAAGTACAATGAGAGTCGTTTCTAATTGATCCAATGTTATACTACTTACTGCAGGAAGGAACTAAACTAATTGTACATGCAATTATTGATCTCATCAGTTCTCTGAACAGTTTACTCGACTTAAAATAATTACGTTGGTGCCAACAAATACACATCGCTGTATGCCTTCACGACACGAGAACTTTTCCATTGCGACGCTTATTTACAGTACCTTACAAATGCTGCCACTTGTTTCGCATTCCATTTTGCCGCGGGTACATATTCGAACTGCCATAAGTAGTCTAATTCATTGTCACTCCTGCCATCAAATGCTTCTACAACATTGAATAAAATCCAAATTTAATTTTCAAAAAAATGTGATCAAAATATGTTTTGCTAATACCGGCATAGTTTAGTATATTTTACCTCTCAAAGTGGTTTCGTCCACTTGTGTGGAAACTTCATATGATTGGTTGAGATACGACTATAACAGACATGATAAATGTTGCAACATTAAACATGCCAAAAAGAAAAGTTTTCAGTATAGGATCTTAACGATCTTTCACTCCGACCAAATGCATTCACGTTAGATTTAAAGTGTATATTATATTGTAAGTAACATAAATCTTACTATAATTTTAACTCTATTTAGCCTGACTGCATTATTTATATACAAAGAGGAAGCCCAATTTTTTATAAGCCTCCATGGTTACTTTTGGGTTGAAACGAACGGGTGCTAGATCGCCAATTGCAACCTACTTTTTCATCTGGCGATCGACTAGATATTTGCTAATGGTATAAGCCCTCGTGGCGACTGAGAAAATACTAAAAATACTAAAATAATTCTTAAGGCTTGTCTCAGCGATCAAGCATTTCGTTTTGTTTTTTCATAAAATTTTCCAACATTAAAAAACAACTGTTTTTATGTTATCTATCTACAAAAAGATTACTTCACAACACATTGATTTATAGGGAGACGTTCATGAAAATAGGATACACTGTAGGAAGATTGAAGAGATACATTATATACAATGTAAATCTCCTCCAAAAATCCTCCGAAAACTTTTAACAAATCCCCAATTTTATTAACTTTGATTACGCGAGATTACGCAAATGTTATCAAAGATTAGGCTGGCTTTCTACTTGCAAGAAATTCCTTCAAGACCTGAAGGATTTCTACTCGCTCAACTTTTTTGTCAACTGATTTATTCGGATGGTCAGAATTCAGAAGAAATCAAATGAAATATTTCGATGATGAAATATTTCTCTGTATAAGTGGAAAGCCTGCCTTTAGGGGCCAGTTAGACGACACCGGATTCGCTTGTCGCAACATCGAATTTGACCGTTTGAGGACCACGTGTCGTTGTCAAGAGAGAGAGAGAGAGAAGGGGTGACTTTATCAGAGGACATTATTCCTGAGCGGCATATGTTCATATCGTGCCAAGTGAATCCGGTACCGTGCAACTACTTAAAGTGCCACTAACCCCCCCAAATATGGTTTTTGGTATTTGTATAATATTTGGGTAATTCTTTTATATGAAATGTACTGTAATATACCTCTATGGTAAAAACGTAATCTTTATAAACTGTTTCATTATCAAAGTTTCCGGATATGATGTTATTAGATGAATTGTGAGTTAGTTTTCCTTTGTTTTTTGGTGCTAAAATGTGTCTATGACATCATGCCTGGTCATTACGACAGTAAAAAAGTTGATCAAGATGCGACCTAAATTACTATATATTACATTTCTCCTCAGATTGATCGAAAGCAGTTATTGCACATACCAAAATCATATATGGGGTTAGTGGTACTTTAAATAGAGAAAGTGGTAAATGGTGCAAGAGTGTTGCAAATAAAGGCTTGTTGGCACTATCATAAGTCTCATACGTGGAAGTCTAAATCGTCTTCCAAAACATATTTTTAATTCAAACGTCTTTCACTGAAAATTTGATGTCAGACAACATTGTGATAGGCATAGTGAATGTTTTACCAATTCTTTATCTGAAATGAGCTTCCAACTTACTCTAGACATTTTTCTGGGTGGGGTGACATTAGCTTTTCTGTTGAGGTAATGTTTCCACCCTCCCCTCCCCCGGCCACCAATTCCACCACCAGAGTAGCTCCCTCTCTTTGGCACAGGTATACCAAACAGTCTGGCACATGAGTTTGAACAGAACTTCCTTGAGTCAAATCTTCGAGCCATGGCTGTACATGTTCTGCTGCAATAAGAACAACTGTCCAGGTCGAACGAACCCTCACTTGATTCTTCCTCGCTTGTTGCAAAGTCGGTGAATACTATCGAAGATAAGTCATGGTTAGGCTAGACTACAATTAATGGAATGGAATGAAATAGAAAAATGGCATAGTAGACTAGACCAGAATAGAATACAATAGACAAAATAAAATAGAATAAAGTAGAATGCAAAATAGAATGGAATACATACGAGTGAGATGAAATGGAATAAATGGAAAGGAGAAGAGTAGAATAGAAGAGTGGAATAGAAAAGAAGGACAAACAACTGAACCAAACAGAATATAATAGATAAGCAATGCATGAAATATAGTATGTTAAATGAAAACTGTAAAGCTTAACAACTACAATGGAATAGACTAGAATAGATTAAAATGAAATACAATAAAATGGCAAAATTAGAATAGAATATAGAAGCTAGTTGGAATCATGGATAGAAACTTTAATTCAATTCTAATTTTAAAAACAATGCTCTGGTATCTTTGATAAACTTGTGAAAAGCTGAATACGCTGAGTTCTTAATGCTGTAAAAATTAATACATATTGGCAAGGTACTACCTTCATTTTCCGACTCAAAGAATGAAGTACTCTGCATAATATCAGGTTCATCTGTTGGTAGCTTTCCAAATTCATATGTGTTCCCTTTAACCTGATTGGAAAAAGTCAGAGAAAATTTTGCATTTTTAGACTTATTAATTAATAATTAATTAGTAAGTAAACATTTGTCATAAATATGGTTTGGATTAGTACTGAAACTTTAAAATTGTTTCATGAATCATTTAACCTTTTGAACAATTTGGATTATTCCAGGCTACACGCTCCCCCCACAGAGGAAATTTGTGTCTCATAAAAGTTAGGACATCCGAAGAGGGTAGGGGGTTCCCTCTGAAGAGGGTAGGGGGACGGTAACCTCCCACATGGAGGAAATTGGATGTTTCCTGGAACAATTCACACAATGACCTTTGTCTGAACCATTCAAATTACTATACTCCAGGCAAAGAAGTGTCCCTCAAACTGTCAATGTGTTTACCTTTTTCAAATAGTTCCTCAAGACTCAAACCATGGCAGCTTATACAATGGGTCGTTCCAGAAAAGATCCACACTTCCCCCACGGTGGAAAATTTCTGAAATTTCTGCCGTCCGGAGGGGGAGGGGAGACAAAATTGTTTCTGATAATAGTAAATGTATTAGGACATCCGAAGGGGGTAGGGGGGTTAACTTCCCAATTTCCTCTGTGGGGGTGGTATGGATGTTTTCTGGAATGACCCAATAGTACTGTACTACTACATCCCTTTGTAAGTTACTGTTCCTAATTACTGCCAATGGTATGCCAAACAAGATGTGACGTGTGGGCCAGTAGTCGTATGGATAGGAAATTGGGATGGCAGGAGGGGTGAGCCTAATGTGTGGATTGCACCCTAGCAAACCTGGGGAGTGGGACACCGGGGTAAGGATCAAGATAAAGTTATTATTGTTGAATATTTAAACAAACTTTGCTTTTCAAACAAATATGAACCAAATACAGGGGACCCCTCATGGAAAGTTTGTTGTTTATATGCCGAATATACACGGCAGTCAAAATTTTGATATCTTAGTATATGCTAGTCTAACAGACTAAAATGGGTCATTTCAGAAAAGATCCACACTCCCCCCACGGAGGAAATTTCTGCCGTCCGGAGGGGGAGGGAGACAAAATTGTTTGTGATAATAGTAAATGTATTAGGACATCCGAGGGGGGTTAACTTCCTATTTCCTCTGTGGGAGTGGTATGGATGTTTTCTGGAATGACCTAATACAATAAAAGTCTTTTGTTAAGTTCCCAGAAATCTTTGTCCTATATGCCACCTGACATAAAAACAGTCTTGTCACACATGTAACATACAAACTTTCCAGACAGGACAGGGGGGGATATATACATGCTCATTTAATACTTCACTACATTTTTTTTTATTTAATTCATTTGCCCATATGGAAAAGTTAATATTTACAATCTTCAATGTATACAATATGACAGGCTAAGAGCCTTCATGAAACCCTTTCAGGCTTTTTGTTCAAAGCCCCCCTAGCTCTATAATTATTTTTATAATTGTTTTATATAAGTTAATTATGTAATGTCCAAAGAATATACAGTAAATACAGTAGGAATCAAGTTAACTATAAAACCACACTACTAAATGTTTCACTTCAAACACTGAAAAAAGTAAAAAAATAAAAACAAATTTTCAATATTTCACTACCCACGAGATATATAACAGAAATTGCGATTTGCAAAAATAAACAAAAAATCAGTTTTTGCAGTTTTGGATTGAAAATTTTTGCAACGCAATTTTTGCAATATAGAGATATATAGGATACAAAATTTAAAGTAGAATTACACTATTCAATACTCACGGTAAATGGCCAGCTACTTTCTTGGATAATAAAATCCTCAATAAAGTGATTTAGCACACATGGCTCTCCATTGGTCGATGTGTCCGCCATCTTGAATTTGAGTTGATGCTCGCGAAAAATTTTTCAAATTTTTAACACATTTCAACGTTTTTAAATACCTTTTAATTCTACACCAACATCCGAAAACTCCTACAGGTAACAGAAATTGCTTTTTTTTAAACGGATACGTTCAAAAAGTACAAAAATAAATTCGTCGAAAATTGTTTTTCGTTTTTGCTTGCTCGACTTTTTGTGAATATTGAAAACTTCCGATACAATTACGACTGCTGCCGAAGAGCGACCGACAGATTTGCAACAGCTTCAGAGCGATGGCATTTTTTTCGTATTGTGATAAAAAGTACGATACCTGCAGTTATTTTATATTAAATATCCTTATTATAAAGTGCTTAGTTAAAGCACAGTTGATTTTTAAACTTATACTTTGTTAAAATATCCCTCTAAATCTTATGTAGGTGAAATTATATTATGATATTTGAAACTTTTTGTACAAAATACGGTTTGAGGTCGAAAGTTAGACGATACCCGTTCAAAAATACGGTTTAAAATCCAGCTTCCACTGAGCTGCATCTATAACTGGAGAGTGAACTTCCCCAGCGGGCGATTCAAAAAACAGGCGGTCGAAATTTTCAAATTTCAAGCTCGATTTCAAGCAATTTTTTCTTGATTTAAACGATTTATATGGAGTTATTTAAAGTGAAGAAAGATTGCCTCTACGATGTAGTTGTAGTTGGGGCATGTTTTTGTGATTTACAAACGTATGTGCAAGAATACCCGAAGCCTGGCGAGACAGTGCTCGGTCGCAAGTTTCAAATGGACTTTGGTGGCAAAGGGGCAAATACCTGTGTGATGGCAGCGAAATTGGGCGCCAAAACTAGCATGGTATCTTTAGTAGGAGACGATGTTTTCGGAAGGGAGACGGTGGAAAATTTTCACAAGTTTGGAGTGAATACAGAATGTGTTGGAGTGACTACAGAAGCTGCAACTGGAATGACTAATTGTAGTATGTATAAATATACTAGAAAATACATGCATGCAGAAACCCTCGCCTTGCTGACAAAACCGTTGTATTTTCCGAACATGAAGTATCTAAAGTAGTTGTTATGGTAACACGATAATTTTTTAAGAATATTCTTACAAATGAAAATCGCCTAAAAATATCACTTTTAATTACAAAATTATCAATTTCTCAACATATATATGTTAGGTATGTAATTATACGTAATACAAGCTTCAATTTAAGGTAAAATTCAACAACAAACAATTCACAAAACGTTTTAAAGTGTTCTTTATAAAACTAAACTGCCTTTAACTATTAAATGGCTTTATCGATAAACTTTGAGTTTGCAATAAAATGATTTCAAATTCTCGCTTGCAAATAACTTTCCTTTATTTTTTATTTAAAAAATTCAATATAATAAAAAAGGGAATCAATATTAAAGATACACTGAAATTATATGCTGTCTTGTATGTCTTGTTTAGTTGTTTGATATACGCAAAAGCCGTCGGGTTTTAAAGCCATTATAAAATCAATATTTAAAACAAACTTACCTTCGTTAACGTCAGCTCCGTTCTTTTAGCTGATCCTTTGGCCCTTTCATTCTTGAAATTTACAAAATCTTGCAGAAATACGAGCAAAAATGAAGAATATTTGCAAGAAATTTGACAAATTTATCAATCATCAACTCATCAAATCAAGAAATGTTTGCTATTTCGCTGTCGTCATACAGCCGTTATAATGCAAACTTTAAATTGGACCAATCAGTGTCCGTTATTCATGACAGTCCGCCATATTTTTGAGATCAGTGAGGATGACCACCCATCGTTGGTGACCGACGCCCGCGCTCATTGATGAACTTTAGACTTCCCTAATGCTTTCGTTTCCCCGGGTGTATATAGCCGGGTGGAATTAGTACCCTCGCACGGCGCTTCGCGCCGGCTCGGGGACAATTTAATTCCAGAGGCTTTTGGGTCATTCCATTTATTATCCCCTCTATGGATGAGCTCTGTTCAAAATTTGTCGTCCAGGAATCAGACTTCTGAGAAGTCCTCAATTGGAAGGGGGGTACTAAAAAGTGGAATCAGTCTTTCAACATATTTAACCTTGTGGGAAATATGGTTTTAAAGAAAAAGTGACCTCTATAGGAATCGCAGCATTATGCCAAAAACCCCCTGTAGGAATCGGATCATCCATATGGGGGGAGGAGGGGTCGGATATTAAATGGAGTGACCCCTTACAGAACGGTTGATCCTTCAAATTTTCCATGCTATTATTACATACAACATTTATTTACAGTACAACGTTTATTTCCGTAACCAGTTTGACATATTTTTACAAATAGCCAATCACATATGAGGTTCAAATTCTGAAGCTGGTGGAAGTGAGATTCTCAATTGATTTGACCAGAGGCTCTTTCATCTTTGTATTTCTATAACCCATTGAGTGCCAGCACTCTTTCCTTGACAAGTGAAATTGTCTGGCATTAGACAGAGTAAAATAATATAGTGCAATGCAACTTAATGGGTTAGAGCCTCCTGGACCAGGGTTAAAATATGTATAGTACAGTATGTACAGTACAGTACAGTACAGTACTCATGTGAATGGTAATGTTGATACAGTAGTAATAGTAATACAGTTCTGGAATGACCCAATTGATGTTACTTACAAGTCTAATCTATTATTGAAATTTGATTATGGACTACCGAGCTGTCCGAGCGTATTTAGACCCACTGATCACGCTCTTGCAGTTTGGTTTTTAGTTCGTAGTCAGAGTTGGATTGAAAGCGTGTAGATCTAAATCGATGTGTCAGCAATTAGCGGATCCTATATTTTTAACACTAGGCACTAGATTGTTTGAGCTGCGTATATTATAGTAAAAAAATCACTTAAAAACATGCATTTTCTAATCATTAAATTAATTTTAAAAGTGACGCCAGAATGCAGGAAATGCTGTTTCAGAGCCCCAAATTTTAAAATTTTTCCAGGGGGCATGCCCCCGGACCCCCTATTAGTTGGGTGAACGTAGTAAACCAGTCATCAAAAACCCTGCATCCGCCCCTGCACATGATCATCACCACCCCCTGAAAATTTTGCACCCCCCCTCCCAGAGAAAAATATGAAAATCCGCCCTGCTGCAATTCTACTTAATCCGATGAAAAATTATGAGGAAATGACAAGTATGTCGTACAAAGCGCTAATTAAGAAACAAATATGTTCTCGAAGAGCATATGCTTTAATTCAGTCTGATCTTTATCTCTTCTCATTTTCTGTAGTGCTGGAAATAGCATTCTAAAGATCATGTAAACACAAATTTATGGATGGGGCATGCCAATGAGTTGCATGATGATCATACTGACCCCCCTGCTTCTATTAATCAGGCAACATCTCCAGCCACTACCGTAGGAACCGATATTGTATGGGGGGGGGGGGGCATTAGTCTTGGGCTATTATTAGGTCATTTCCCTCTCAAAATTTACAAATTATTGCTAGTTTACAAATTATTGCTAGTTTACAAATTATTGGGGGGTGCTGAAGCCCCAGCCCCCCTGGTTGCTACGGCCCTGCCAGCCATCTCCACACATTATATCCAACACCTATAAACTTAAGACAATTTAACTGAGCAAGCCAGCAGTGTAGCTGAATAAAATACTTTTTTTTTAAATGAATTTCCTATTTCCTTTGTTACTTAGTTGTTGACAAAGATGGAGAACCATCATACATCAGTATCCCTGGTGCAAGCAAGTGTGTCACAACTGCACACGTCAACAATGCCAAACATGTCATACAACAAGGAAAGGTGCTGATCACCAACAATGGCATCCCTCTGCCTACAGCCATAGAAGGCTTGAAACTTGGCAAACACTTTGGAGCTATAACAATATGCAACCCATCACCTAATGCACTTGAACTTCCCAATGAGTTGTATGCAAATACAGATATTTTGATGCTGAACATGGATGAGGCATCTGCACTTACAAAGGCAAAAGTTGCTGCTCGTTCTGAGGCCGAAGACGCCTGCATTTGGTTTCATGATAAAGGTGTACCGTGTGTTGTCATGACGATGAGAGAGAGTGGTGCAATAGTGTCTGTGAATGTCTTGGATGGTGATCAAGGCAAATGTAAGTTTTTGAGTTTTAAAGACTATATTTATGATAGCTACCAGTTAATAGATTGCTAATAGACAAATTTAGCTAATGTTGTTCACATTAGGGCCATTTATACGGGACAAAATAAGTCACGACTTACATAAGACGCGTCTTATATAAGCTGAGTTATCGCATAAATGGTTCTCTACGGCTTTATTCTTATTTACTTGCTATAGCTATAATGTTGTTTCGGTTGTTTTTGTTTTAATATGCAAGGCTAATAATTTTACGTTGTTTCAAGTTTCGGACATGTGTAGTTAGAATTTTTGTCCAAAATTTCTTATTTAAGACGCGACTTAAATAAGAACAGCTAAAAGTCCTGTTCTTATGTAAGACGCGTCTTATCCAAGACGCGTCTTACATAAGAATTTTGTACCTTTTATACGACAAACTCGCGTCTTATTTAAGTCGCGTCTTATGTAAGTCGCGTCTTATTTTGTCCCGTATAAATGGCCCTATTGTGGCTACCCATTTCACAACTTTAGATAATTCACATGTCTTGTTACTATTGCTCTAGTTTACAGAAGCATAGAATAGAACAAAAGTAACTAAGCATCAATGTTATATCCAGGTGATCTCGGAACTAGGAAAAGGCCTGGCACCAGTTGTAAAATAGAAATCCATTTCTGGTTTAAAATTACTCAATATCTCATCAACGGTATTAGATTTCTATTTCAAATTTGTCCCAGACATTCATTTCCCTGTGAAAGACACAGACACAAAGCTTCAAACAGTTTCACAAAAGAATCGGGGCGTGATAAGTGATTAAAGGTACGAAACTGGATTTCCATTCTGTTGCTAGTCCCAGTCCTTTTGCTCACCGTCAGATCACCTGGATGTATAAGAGTTATTAACTCAACATGTAGCTCATGCTAATGCTTAGTTACCTTTGTTATTAAAAAAATATTATATGCTTCTGTATACTAGAACAATGATAATTAGGCATGTGAGTTATCTATTAAAAGTTGTCAATTACCGTATGTATAAAGAAACGTTAGCCAAATTTGTCTATGTCTTTTTTTATTTTAAAGATGATGCTTAATCTACAGTTAAGACTTATTCGGGTTAATTTGCATAAAAGTAGAGCAGAGCTCTGCTCCCATCGGTTCATCATCTAAATCTATTGATTAAAATCGATTAATCGTATCTAGAATGGCCCTTCCAAGAAGTGGGCATGTTTTTAAATTCTTTTTGACAGCCAAGAAATAAAAAACAAGTTGCGTTTGTTATTTCAGTGATCATGCATGTCTTGCTATGAGATAGCTTAGATTATCATTAAGAATGTCGATATATAATCGTAGAACAGTCAAAAAAGACAAATAATAATCGATTAATCGGGAGCAGCTCTATAACATACTGAACATGCATGTAAAAGCATTTGATTAGACAGGTGATTTATATTTGGTATAAAAAGGTATACAAGGTACAATAGACCATAATAATTTTGCACAGTAAAACAGTGTTTCAAAAATTTGCACAACAAATGTACGTACAGAATGTTATCAAAGCCATTTTTTTTTTCGGATTTGGAAATTGGCAATCACAAATTACCATGGTTCACGTTAATCGTAACCATGGTTCACAACGACCATAACCATGGTTCAGGATAATTATAACCATGGTCCATGGTTCACATTAATCATAACTATGGTTCACATTAATCAGGACCATGCTTCACGATATTCCTAATTAAAATGTAAATAAAATAGAGACAAAATGAGATGGTACCAAATTGTCAACTACAGATATAGTGCTTGATAGACCATAGTTAATAGAGGAGATGGTTTGGAAACTCGTTAGCATTACAATAAAATCACAATAAACCTCATTATCTATGTTGTTCAGGTTTATGCAAAAATGTGGTCTTTCATCGTCACGTGCGTATTGTATTTTTCCCAAGTCAACCAATAGGAATGTTCAAAATGTCCAATTGTTAAAGTCATGGATGGGCAATTGGACAAAACCGTTGCTATTGGCTGGTTGAGCAAAAATACAATACGCACGTGACGACGAAAGACCACATTTTTGCATAAACCTGAACAAAAACATAGATAGTGAGGTTTATTGTAATGCTAATAAGTTTCCAAACCATCTCCTCTATTAACTATGGATAGACCAAAGCTCATTGAGCTGGCTGGATCCATCCCTGGTTCAATATTTTTCCTGATTTCTTGATAAATCAATTCCTTGATAATAAATTATTGATCATTCACAATCATTGAACTTGAATTTTCTTCATACACTGGTTAAATTGATGCAGTATAAATAACGCACAACTTCTTTTGCGCTCCAATGAGATCCATCTTGAAAAGTCTTAAATAAATCTTGTAGGTCCAGAAAGGACGTTGTTTCATGTTCCAACAAGAAAAGCGCACGTGGTTGACACGACGGGTGCAGGTGACGCTCTTGCCGGGGCATTCTCATTCTTCCTCTCTTGCTATCCACATTTATCCCTGAAGGAGATCATGCGGCGATCTGTTGCCATAGCAACACAAACTGTTGAAACGGAAGGCGTACAGAAGAGTTATCCAAGTCGCGAATCATTGCCACCAGAATTGTTTGATTAAAATTACTTGACGCTTTTATTAATTATTATAATAATTATTAACATTGAGGTAAATTCGAAGTAACCAATAAAATTAACTTCATCGCCATTGTTTGAGCACAAAATTTGTAGCACTGGATAAATTTACTTTACCAAATGCGTTTTTATTGATTGCAATATGATTCTAAAAACTCCATTTTTGGAAACGACGGGCCACGAAATTCATTTCGAACTGCACTAAAGATATGTCGTACGTACAACGGTTACAGGGAAAGAATCGTCTACCACGTGGATTTATATATATGTACTTACAATCCTGGCTATAAATCACGTAACGACGACGAAAATAACATCATCAAACATGATCAAGATTACTTCAAAAACTCGTACTTTATCAGATCAGCAAAACTTTGGAACAGTCTACCCACATGTCACAATTTATCTTTGTTCAGATAACGTTTAATTAATTTATGCAATAGCAAATCATATAAACTTCCTAGCCGTAGCTAAGTTGAGTTTACCCGTAACAAAATTTCACGCCATTTGTTATGATTGTATTGTAAAAAAATGTAAATTACTAGTAAAATACTTTGCTTTCAAACCACCTTAGCTTGTTTTGTTCTTGAGATACTTAACAATTTTTGATATGCAAATTATCCTCACTATGACGTCATACTGCATAATGATTTGTAACTCTCACAGATAACTGATTCAAATTTGTCGACATATAATTAACACTTATTTACTGAGACCGAGGGAAACAGTGTGTTTTGTGGACCCGAGACCGCCGTTGTTGGGACAACGGCGGTCGAGGGGCCACAAAACACACTGCTTTCCCGAGGTCTCAGTAAATAAGTGTTTTGTTATACTTATATAGTATATAAGTGTCAAAGTATGAATAATTCACCAGTTTATTGGAGTGAACTTAATTTGAAACCAAAACTGGATAAATGGAACGCCGTAAATGTTTAGTAAAAAGTTTAAAAAATGAACTTTGGAACTTCATGGTTGACACGCATGCGTATTGCATCCATTTTATTATTGACCGGTCAATAAATATTTCATTGCGGAGCGGTTGCTAACCTGAAGTTCAGGCCCTAATTTGAAATAGGGCCTGACACAAAACCTGTCTAGACCGTGGGACGCCCACATGTTATTTTTAGACACACATGCAATATGATTGACAAGTGTTGTAGATTTCGTTACACAAAAAAATTATATTCTCATGAACATGTCCGCAGAGCATTTTGCTTTTTAATTAAACTTAAAATTCAAGGTACTTTTATATAATTAAGAGTCAGTTTCTCTATTTAACCGAACAGGCGAACAGCAAACAAAGATTTAATTAGTCAGTTCTGTGCACGGCTTGACTACCAAGCTTTCTCAAGGTCTCAACTTGCTGGACGCAGGTATACTCTAACGACTAACGGGCTAATAACAGCAACAATTAAATTCTCAATCATACCACGAAGAAGGCGATGTAGCTCAGAAAACAACGCGGGTAGGACCTGATATTAAGACTTTTGCCGGCGAAGCAATTTGGCAGAACATCTTGGCTGTCAACAACAAGCTTTCGAATACATGACTAGTTTGGCTGTTATTTCAGCGTCGTGTGTATCCAAAATTCGTCAAAGATTTTGATGAAGCCCTTTCAAAATACTGTTTGTTTGATTTATTTTCTGCCATAAAGCATAAAAGAAAAGAAATTCGAAGAAATCGATAATGGAATTTGTTATGTGCGTTTGACCTTTATATTAATTCTCGCCTTGACCGAGCTATTTTTAAAACTGTTGTTTATGTGAACTTGCAACCAATCAAAATCCTTCATGATGCTGATCAACCAATCAGATTTCCCGTCCACCAGGTGGACGGGAATCCCACACTTTAGATAGGTTTTGTGTCAGGCCCTATTCTGTGATAGGGCCTGAACTTCAGGTTAAGCGGTTGCCGAACATGACGTTTTGTGGACCGGCACGTGACACGGTTTTGACCAATCGGCAAACAGAAAAATTGAACTTTGACACTAACTATTTAACAATATTTATTTGTAGTATTTCCACATAACGTGCACATCAATTGTTTTATTATTTCGATGCACGATATTCCAAGATCTTGAAGGGTTTTTCAGAAAGTTATTATGCAATATGACGTCATAGTGAGGATAAATTTGCATATCAAAAATTGTTAAAATATCAGTCAAGAACGAAGCAAGCTATAAGATAGTTTGACAAAGTACGATATTTGTAAGTACAGAGTATAACACTATCTTTTACAATGCAGGCATGATGCGAAACTTCAATTTAATATGACATTGTATATAAAGGCTAAAAGTTATATGAAAATGGTTTTAAAAAACACCGGCGTCTCAACAGAAAATTATATCGCAATAGGTATGGAGGAAAGCTAGTTTATTCTTTATTTACCAGCAAAAACATTCATTACATCAGATATCAAACCTATAAAGCTAAAAGTCATTATTGGGTTTTTTTCTGTCCTTTGGTTTCCAAGAATGGAAACTTGGGCTTCGATATACTTCTGCATTTGCATATGTAATCCAGTGTGTCAGCATAGCATGCCCATTCGGGTTTGGTGAGAAGACATTTTTGATAAGAGTAACAGGCTTTTTTGCAGCAGTCGTGCACGGCTTTGTGACAGATGTAGAAGATATTTGATACGGGTGGATTTCCCGAGGTGAATGGATATTTAACAACGCAGACTTTTCCGCAGTCGAATGGACATGGCTAAAAATAGAAAAAATGTTTGGGTCAATTTTCATATTTAAATTTACAACCAGAATTTATACGGCGATACATCCCCAAATATTGGATCATGCCTTATTTTAAATACAATCATTATATTGCAATCCCAATCTTAATTAATCCTAATATTTTAAATCTTAGTCTAATCCTGACTGTAATCTTAACTATAATCATAACCCTAATCCTTAACCAATGAACTGTAAGAGAACTGGAACAATTCCTTGGCCGCCATATTTGGAGCCATTGATGACGCTCAGAATTCTTCAGTTTTTGCAGGCATTATATTCTTTATTTGAGCAAGGATGAAAGCTCAAAGTAGACAGCAATACTTGTAATTCACTACAGTACAGAACAAGTTTTGGGACCGTGGAAAAGTTTCAAAGTTATTTTTTGAGGAGATGAAAAGTGAAGAATTTTTTCGGCACTTTCGAACTTGTGGAATAGAAAACTGTCACCCCAGATGTTTTTGCATTTAGCTACTATTGTAAAATGCTTATATACAGCTTAGAACTGTCGAAAAAATCTGGAATTAAAGCTTTCTTCTGAAAAAAATCATTTTTCGACTCTTATTTGATCATTACCCTAAACCAGTGCTGTAGAACTAAATTTACCAGAGGGGGGGGGATCTCTTGACGAGCGTGAAGCCGTGAAATCGTAAAAAAAACCGTGACGTCACACGACGACCAGGGGTGAGCCATACGCTGACCAGGAGTAAACATATAGCCCTTACCGCGGCGGCATTTTTTGATGGCGGGGGGTTGGCTGGGGGGGGGCTAGCGAACACCGATGGCGTGAGCCCTCCGGGACTGAGAGGTCCGGGAAATTTTGAAATCTTTCAGCCCCGGAAATGCAATAAATTCCTCTAATTTTGAAATCAGAGCCCCGGAAATGCAATAAAACCTGCTAGTTTCTCTTAAAAATTTCTTGAACGACTCTTAATTAAACAAGCCATTATATATGGGTAAAATTTATTCGCTTAGTACATTTTCCTTGAATAGATTTCTTTTTTCGAAATTTAATGCGTTATTTAAGCGTAATTTAAATTGCATTTTCCATACTTATCGTCCTTACCTTTCTTAGAAATTTTTTTTTTGGGAAGTGCGAGCCCACTAATACATAACAAGAAAATAATAAATGGAAACAATCACCTGTCCAGCATACTAATGAAGACTGAACTAATCTACATAATTATGTGCAAGGAATAACTTAACGTATTTTAAAAAGTCTGTGATAGTCCAAACTAATTATATTTCAAAAGTCTGACTAATTCTGCTGGAGTTTTTAAAATCAAAACAAAATATTTTTGTTGAGATTGTAACAGAGATCCTGCTCCGTAAATGAACCAAAGTTACGTTTTCTCTTGTCGTTCTTGGACATGAGTACATTCGGTATTTAGTATCGCCAGATGACTGAATCTCCTCTGTGACATAATAATTTTCTAAAATAGAAGGGGGGCTCAGCCCCCCCCCCCCAGAGTTTGAAGAAGGGGGGCTCCGCCCCCAAGCAACCCCCCCCCCCTTCTACAGCACTGCCCTAAACTTAACCCCAATCTTAGCATGATCCATACCTATTTTGGAACTTTTACATGAAGAAACGGCCATTTTACTTACCCACAGAGGTTTTGTAAGAATAGGCGCTGGGATTTTAAGGCGTGGTTCCCTGTCCATTTCATCGTTCTCCATTTCATATGATTCAGGGACCTCGAATTCTGGTCGAGCAGCCACGTACACGAGAGTCATAGCGAGGAAAAGTAGTTTAATAGCGTTGGACAACATGGTTGTATATGAAACTATACAAATTAAGATCAAATGGATTTAGTTTAGTTTGGTTTAGTTTTAATTGGTTTGTCAAATTTTACATAATTTTATAAGACTACAAGGAAATCTTACAAAACAAACTAAACAACGAAACGATTACAAGACAACCATAGTTGTGAGAGGAGAAAAGAACAGGAGTTTCGTCTAAATTGACGTGCATGCACCTCGCCCTATTTAGCCTGCGTAGCCGGCGGTTTTAAGGGTTGGGGTTGAGGCGCGGGCAACGAAAATTAGGGAGGCGAGGCGCGGGATTTTCCCTTTCACGAGCCCGAAGGCTTATATGTATGTACTTTAGATGAAAATACGTTTTGAAGTTTAAGTTGTGAAAACTGATATAGAGAGTTCAAAACTTTGAAAATGGAAGGCAGCTAGACCATTCCATAGTTCAACTGTTCCAATAAAAAATGAGTTTCTAAAGTATAGTCCTTTTTATGTTCAACTATATATATGTGAGATTATAATTGTTTTACAGTCTTGTTTAAACATGCAACATGGGAATTGGTGGTGGACCAGATCAAAAGTTACAGTGGTGGTCATTATATAAGAAGGCTCTTGGACTTAGTAATTAGATGGAATAACATGCTTTACTAGGCTATAGTTACATTATGAAAATCTCTTCAAATAAGCTTACTTTTCTTCGTTCAAAGTCCTCGAACTTTTGGTCTTCAAATCTGTTTCTTCTTTCGTCTTCTTGACTTGAATCGTCAGCTGACGAACTTGTTATGCTTAACATGGCCTTGCAACCCTCCTTTTATGCGATTCTGCTTGGCAGTATTTTCCCTTTTCTACGTCATACAGACGTGCTGTTTGTATCGCGTGCAGGTTTCGCTTTGCGAGTTTGACGATATAATTGTTATTTAATTTTGTTTTCGGTTCCAAAGAGCTCTTTCGAAAGCGTGGGCCAGACTTGTTTAAGTATATAATTGTTTTGCCGCGCGAAGAGGAATTTGGTTTCGGTATTTTTACATTTTTAATGTATAGGGAGGTCTCACCGCGCCTACAACATGCACGTGGGAAAGTATATGTTATGCCAGAGTGGACAGAGGGTTTAAAAATATTTCCTTTATTAAAATGTGTGCAAGATATTAAAAACACTAAATATGAGCTTGGGTAAATAAAAACCATGCAGTAGTGTTTTATCATGTACATAAGTGTCATTATATCTAATTGTAGAATTCTTTTGGAATGGAATGGAATGTACTATATATATGATACGACCATTATGGCTTTTATGCATAGATATCTTATATACACTAGATAGCATGCATCTAATTATTCTGCAATTCAAAAATTGAAGCCGTGATTGCAGTCTCAGTTCGTTCCCATGAAATGAGAAGATTCGTATGTTTTCTATTTCTTCAACAGGGGACTTAAACATTAAGTCAACCCTATTCTAAATACGTTTTTAAACTATTCAAATGATGAAAGTTATTGCTGTTTTTAAGCGTTTATTAGCAAGTGGGAACGACCACACATGGCCGCCATCTATTCAAATGGGGGTAACTGCTGGAATATTCTTGGCTTCAATTTTACTAAAAGAGATGCGCTATCTAGTGTATATAAGATATCTATGCTTTATGTAAATTAGCTGGCATGGTTTTTCATTTTTTCCACAAAAGTACACCATGCACCTTTGCCAAAAGTTTTTTTTATAATTTTTTCAAGTATATTTACCGTTTACGTTTCTTTGCTCACATGGCGCATATATTAATTGTGTGTATAATAATATTTAATTATCGATAGATTTAACATTAATCTTTCTTCCAAATGGATGTATTGTTCATTATTTCGTTAGCTATATAAAATTCAGGCTTTTTCAAACCACATCTGAGATGTACCCCAACATTATACCACAAGCTTAAGAATGTAAAAAATTGAAGAGTCTGTTAACATGTATCGTTTAGGTTTCGGGGTGTGAGTTTGACGGTGGGCCAGACCTATTATATAATTATTTTGTTGTAGAGGTTATATAATGCGCCATACTTCGCTATTTTCATCTCTATACCCCTATTGATTTTACTCGTGAAGGGAAAGATATATATTATGTAGAGTATTAAATTTATTTATTTTTTATTTATTTATAATTAAATATAAGATATTTGATATATTGATTTATAATGTCGATACAATCATCAATAAGTAGCTATTCATGCAGTATGGCACGCTTTTGTATCATGCAATAATGAAAATATCAACTCCTCTGAGCAAATCAGAGAGATTTTAGAAAAATATTATTGATTGTTTCGTTTATATAGTCGTTAATTTGATCATATTGATTAAATTAACAAGTAGTCAAGTCCTTGGTCAAGTAGAATTGATTTTCTGCTTGCCCGGTTCATACTCGTAAGAAGTTCAAAACACCTACACATTACATCACGAGTAGAATCTCAAGAAAAAAAAAATCATCTACAACATTCGCTGGATTAATAGCTGGCACCAGGCATGGAAAGGAAGAAATTCGTTCATGTCATTAACATCACAAATAAATTACATATCGTTCCCAACTTGGCCTTGTAGCTCAGAAGGTAGAGCGTCGTTCTAGAAATGCGAAGGTCACGGGTTCGATTCCCAGCCGTGGTCAAGTAGAATTGATTTTCTGCTTGCCCGGTTCATACTCGTAAGAAGTTCAAAACACCTACACATTACATCACGAGTAGAATCTCAAGAAAAAAAAAAAAATCATATGCAACATTTGCTGGATTAATAGCTGGCACCAGGCATGGAAAGGAAGAAATTCGTTCATGTCATTAACATCACAAATAAATTACATATCGTTCCCAACTTGGCCTTGTAGCTCAGAAGGTAGAGCGTCGTTCTAGAAATGCGAAGGTCACGGGTTCGATTCCCAGCCGTGGTCAAGTAGAATTGATTTTCTGCTTGCCCGGTTCATACTCGTAAGAAGTTCAAAACACCTACACATTACATCACGAGTAGAATCTCAAGAGAAAAAAAAAATCATCTACAACATTCGCTGGATTAATAGCTGGCACCAGGCATGGAAAGGAAGAAATTCGTTCATGTCATTAACATCACAAATAAATTACATATCGTTCCCAACTTGGCCTTGTAGCTCAGAAGGTAGAGCGTCGTTCTAGAAATGCGAAGGTCACGGGTTCGATTCCCAGCCGTGGTCAAGTAGAATTGATTTTCTGCTTGCCCGGTTCATACTCGTAAGAAGTTCAAAACACCTACACATTACATCACGAGTAGAATCTCAAGAAAAAAAAAAATCATCTACAACATTCGCTGGATTAATAGCTGGCACCAGGCATGGAAAGGAAGAAATTCGTTCATGTCATTAACATCACAAATAAATTACATATCGTTGCGAAGGTCGCGATATATATATATATATATATATATATATATATACGCATAAACCACTGGTCTGAAAACTAGGACGAGTAGAACTGGATAGAGTACCCTTTTGAATTCAATCAGTCAATTTTGAAGCCATTTATAATGAGATGAGATTTTAAAGTCTGTCAAAATCTCTGCAAGGCGGATCGCGACGTGTTTAAATTCTATACATTATCAAGCAAATGTCTTTTCCTATGTAACTTGAAACATGTAGCTTCCCACATCTCTTCTAATGAGTTTGATAACGTTTTAAACGCTAGATAATGAGACTTGTGGATCTCATTCTACCTCCTCCGCAGGCCAAAGCGTACTGAACTAAAAAGTACAAAGTATCCTTAAAAAGTACTTGAAAATGCTCCCTAAGCGCCTGCGGAGGAGGTAGGATCTCATTCGTTATCCACAGGCAAATTTAAAGTGCATATGACATGAAATTTCTTATTTTCTTAAATGAAAGAACTCTTTAAGCTGTAGTTTAACTTATTTTTCAGTTTCTTGTTTTTATGGTTTGTTCCCGAGATATTTCAATTTGTTTGATATGTAAATGAGTGTGAATATGTCCGCTAATTTATGACGTCATGTTGGTTGCAAGCTCTTCAAAATGGTTGAATATCACTGCTATCATCCAAGATGATAATTTCAAACTTCACTCACTGGTAAATGTGATAAAACACTGTAGAAAAACGTGAACAGATAGTTTTTAGAGTTAATAGATTTATAACCAAAAAACTTAACTGGATACCTTTTTTAATTTGATCAAAATGAGAAAAATATTATTGGTATTCAATACTTTAAAAACATCTTGGCCGCCGGATCTTCGTAAATTGTTTGTCTTTGTTCGCGACTCTCATCCAATTCCAACTAGATCGTCTATTACAGACTTAAAAGTTCCATCAGTTAAGACTACGCAAGCAAAATCCAAAATTTCCTTTAGTGGTGCAAGTTTATTTAATTCTTTACCTTCCGAATTAAAAGATATTGAAAATCACTCAATTTATTCCTATAAAAAGAAGCTCAAAACCTACTTTATTCAATTGAATTATGAAGTAGATCACGTTAATAAATTCCGCTGCATCGATTGTAAGCATATTACTCATTGTCAATGTTACTCTCAATAGGATTTTCTTTTTATATATTACTATTAGATATCGAGGGCCATTGGGAAGAATACTATATTAAGTAATCAATGTAATCCGTCATTAAATAAAGTTTTATTATTATTATTATTATTAACCAGTGTAAGTTGAGCTTGCAACCAACATGACGTCATAAATTAGCGGACATATTCGCACTCATTTACATATCAAACAAATTGAAATATCTCGGGAACAAACCATAAAAACCAGAAACTGAAAAATGAGTTACACTACAGCTTAAAGAGTTTTTTCGTTTAAGAAAATAAAAAAATTCATGTCATATGCACTTTAAAGGGGGAGAGAGGCTACTGTTAACTGATAAATTTCGATTCAGACAATGTTTATCCTTTTTCAACGAAAACCAGAAACTGTAAGAGCCTCTTCCACAACGCAGTAGATTTGTGGTGGTCACACAAAAAAGGCCGCCATTGATTTCATTTATGCATAGCGGGTGCACTATCCAGTGCTATACTTTTCAGATCAGTTGCATAAACACAACAAAAAGGCTGGTAAGTCGTATTAAAACCATTTCTACATGAAATATGTGCCGAACTTAATTGATGAATTATAGGTACGGCAGAAGGGCGACGTATATGAATAAATTAAGTACGGCCGAATTTGGAGTGGAAAAAGTTCGACACAAGTTCGGCAGAGCTTGTCGCATTATGCGATGTTGGAGCGACATTGGTTCACACGCCACTCCAATCATGTGCCAAACCCAGTTTAAAAATAGACTATTTGGTTTGAATCGGCACCGGCTGAGAATAATATAAAACTATAGATAACAGACCCTTTCCAGGAGTGCGAATAATAAGCCAGAAATGCATGGTGACGCATATATATGCATGGAGAACATGCTGTGTGCCAGTGGGATTTCAAAAACAATGGATAGACAATGCAAGCAGTCCGCCCACTGAAGACGTAGTTCTATTCTGCTTTTGTTAATACCTGCAAAATGATACCTTTTTAGTGCATTGAAGCTCTAGCATAGGCAACATAGCAAATATGCTGTTATTTTCAAAATAAATAGCTGTGAAATAGCTATACCTTGAGAAATGTTTAAAAATGCTTATGCATGTGTTTTCCTGACTTTGCTATATCTTGCAATGATTTACTTGTGTATTCACTACGTATATGTAAATTATCCTGTCGCAAAGTCAGAAACACTTTAAACAAAGATATATTTTACAACTACAGGGTGAATAAAAAAAACTGACACCTTTGTTATTCAAATTAGCCGCGAAGGTATCAGTTTTTTTTTACTCACCCTGTATATTTATTTTGAGGATAATTTTTTAAACTGTTATAGATATTGACCTATATGGCAGACACATATTTATTACTATTAAGATGACAGGGGCACCATTCAGATAAAATGTATAAGCCATATGCATGTAGTATAATGTGACTAAAAGCTGAAATGTACAATATTTATGAACAAATGTGATACAAATTAATGGGACTTTGAAAATAATCCTTTTCAAAGCTGGCAAAGCATTTACACCTGAAACCTGCGTGAAGCATTTACACCTGAAACCTACACCTGAGGGAACTGACTCAGTGTTTAACTCTTAACTCTGAGTCAGTTTCCTCAAACATTTCTTACAAATCCTTCAAAACATAGAATTTACCTATGAAATTTCTATACTGCATGTGTGATCACATGCAGACATTTAGCATGAACTGAAAACTATTTGGTATTTGAAACAGGCACTTTCGTTATTTTTGCATATGGCGCGACGTTTTTAATTGCGCACAACAGGAAATCCCTTGTTATTATTGGGTGTGGGATTTTGGAAAAGAATTCTGTATTTATTTTATTTTTATTACCCACTTAACGTTCTTGGCTTGGTTCGCATGCAATACGTGTTAGTTCGTTTCCGTCATATATTAGACCTCTATAGGAAGGACAGTTTAAAACAGCCATAGAGCTGTATCCAGTTTAAATGAAGTTAGTTTGGTTAAGGTTCCTCCGAGTTGACAATGCACCAAAAATAATCGACCCACTATATAGGGAGAACAGTTTAGAACTGCATGATATGGAGCTATTGAGTAAAGTTAGTCAATACTTTAGGTTTCTCCTGAAGTTACATATAATTAAATCGTTATCAACCATTCAAGGTCTTTAATTGAGCTTCGGATAGAACAGCAATTAGAACTGATACAGTGATAGAATAGTATATGGAGTATAAACATAATGTTAGTTTTTTAGCAAACAGCTTAGTTTAGAAATACAGGATATAGAATATTCCAAAATACATATAACGTATAGTTTAGTTTAGTCTATGTTCCTTCTGTGATAACATTGAGCCCTCAAAATATGGTCACTACTGGTCCTCTAGAGAAAACTCGAGCTCCATGCATGCAGTATCAGTAAAGTCTCATTCGATAAATTACCTCCTTCAGTAACACTATATAGCTAAACCATGCAACAATTAAAAGAGATGGTCCTTATTTTACATAAAAAAAACTTGCAAGCTAGGGGAACTAGTGTATAAATGCTTCTAAAATATTGTGGTGTTTCCCTGCCCACGACCGGATGTTTTTCACTATGGTCATTAGGGCAATAGGGGGGCGAGAAGAGCCTTTTCTTTCTATATATCTGAATACCGGTTCCGCACCATGCATTTTGAGTGGTTGTTAAAGAGTCTCTGTATAGAGCGTTTGCTGAAGATGATATGCGAAACGGATATATATATATATATATATATATATATATATATATATATATATATATATATATATATATATATATATAAAAAATATATATAATATATATATATATATATATATATATATAAAATATATATATATATATATATATAAATATATATATATATATGTAAATATATATATATATATATATATATATATATATATATATATATATATATATATATATATATATATATATATAAAATATATATATATATATATAAAATATATATAAAATATATATATATATATATATATATATATAAAATATATATATATATATAAAATATAGTCATGTAGGATTTCGAAGTAAGCCAACAACCTACACTGTTATTATTCATCTATTATTATTCATTGTACTATTTTCTTGTATTATTATTGGTTGAAAGCCTACCGATAATTTTCCGTATCTCGGTGCAGACATGAACATGACAAATAAATCTCGTATCTGCATGTGAACATGACAAATAAATATCATATCTGTAGGTGCCCGGGTATTTTTGCAGCGCGGGTATTTTGCATGAATTGGAAAGGAGCGGGAAATTTTGTAAAATTATTTTGTTTTTCTTCTGCTGTTTCTGCTCGTTTTGCTTCGGTTTCAACAGAGCTAATTGAAAAAATAGTTGAAGACAAAGATTCTGAAAATTTAAAGATTCTGAATAATAAAAGAATTATTGAATTCGGCTTACGCACGATGTATCTGTCTCAGCTTCGCTTCGTCAGATAACGCTGATCTCGGTCTGAATAATTCTGATATCCTGCTCAGCCTCATCCAATAATTCTTAATTATATAGTATTGGCAAATTCAACATTGAGTAAAGTAATGCACTCGGATCAGTCACTAAACATATTGAGTCCTGAATTTCTGAACAAATTTTGAGTATAGCCTATATGGAATGCCTTAGCTATACGACAGTCGAACTCGATTGAACTGTTTAAGCTAGAGTAGTGTGTTTTGTCATCTATTTGAGATGGAACAATCATAACGATATATATCCTTTCTTAACTTATAGCTTTTATATATTGTAACTATATAATAATGATTTAGGTAGCTATTCTACTAGAGGAGTACTCCCTGTTCTAGCTTTCCTGTAAACAACTTGTTTTTGTTGCTAAACCTTAATAATAATAAAATAAAAATAAATATAGTATATCTTTACTCATGGATCATGACGTAAATTTGAAATTTCAAGTCTTCACTCATAAAACGAGTAATTTTACTCAGACAATATTATGATTCACTAGTGTGAGTGGATGCATGGGTGCATTATCTATATTCACTCAATTTTTTGAGCAAATAAATTTGCTTAGACAATATTTTGAGTCAATTTATTACGGTCCAATACTTTTTCAGCCAGAATATTTTTGCAGTGTAAATAAAATGAAAATACTTTTCCAAAATCCCTTTCCAATATCCAAGTCCCGCGAGTGGTTAAACTTTCTCACAGTTTAAAAATATTCAAACTTCCTCTTTGCCAAAACAATTATTAATCTTATAGCTCTGGCAGGAATTTCAAAAGAGTGGCCAAAACAAAATTATACAAAATTAAATAATTAGTTCCTCAAACTCAGAGACCAAATCCTACGAGACTGACTCGAATGTTCTGATGACGTGAATGTTCTATTGCCACGCATGCAGGAAAAGGCGTACATAGACTCATAGTGCATGGTTATAGAAAATCATTGCCAAACAGATCCGCATAAAAGGAGAGACCCAGGCCATCATATAGACAGAAGAGGGCAAGCAGACGACATTGTAATTGAAGACGATTTTTGGTTACCTATAAAAAGACAGAAAAGGTTAGTTAGGTCTGATCATGACTTTGTTGTTTAAAACTGTTGCATTCTTTATTACTGATATTAATGCTCTTATTCGAATTAACGTTCAACTTATCAAGCCTACAAATATTTAGTTTACATGCATAAGTTAGATTTTTCGTTACAGTTAATACACGAGATTTAAATTTTCAACCTTCATGACTTTAGTATAGAGTATAACTCTGCTTGTTGACCTATATCAAGCTTGTATAGGTTGATGATGGTGAGTTGTCAACCTTTATATAATAAGAACTGTATTTCGAAAGCATTGCACTGGCCACTGCTCTTATATAGCCAATCAGAATTTTTTCATGTATATTATTATTAGTTTAATAATTAAGAGGCAATTTTTTTCAATGTCACGTATATTTGCAATGAAAAGTGTTCAAAACCTAAAATCTTTTGGCGTTCCTCTCAAAATTACTTTGTTTTAGCTTTATTCTCTAGCTTATAGAGTTAGCTATTTTTTTAAATACATCTTCCGGTTGAGAAACATAAAATAATAGTTAAAAATTGTCAATTAAAATACAAATATCAATGATGCTTTATAAAACTGACGCCATATTTACAGCCATATAAGCAAAACTCACTGAACTTCACACATAATTTTCTCTTTGGCGTATCATCTAAAATCTCTTCATTTTGGCATTATTTTACAGATAAAGCACTAAACATACTTTTTAAGTTTGTTTACCGATTGAGAAACGTATCGAAAAATAAAAATTTTGAATTTAGTCATAACCTCAAGCGATATATTATACGCATTAGTTTTGAGCGCGTGTTACGTAACATACAAAAAAATCTCCTCTTAATTACAACAGAAATATTTCGAATATACGCTATGTTTACATAATGTGGTCCTACCAAGACAGAATATTAAGTGGCTCATATTAACAGGCCCTTATAGATGACGTTTGTGTTTAACTTGTTTAAATTACCCTACAGATTCCTATCACGATGACTTCCACCACCACGAAACTGCTTTTCCTGACTTTCGCTGTCATGTATATGATGGTCATGGCTACAGCTCAGCGTACACCTAAACCACTCGCTGCGAAACCTGAAACTCTGTCACCATCATTTTCCTTTAAACCGGTAAGTCAATGTGCAATTTTTAATCATAATTTAGTCCTTGATCAAAATTTAGTCAGTATAGCTGGAATCACCCATATTTACTCGATTGAGCGCCGCCCCCGAGATCAATTTTTTTTAAAGAGCGCCGCCCCCGAATGAGCGCCGCACTAAACAGTGTAAAAAACTTTCCGCGTCAAAATTGGGACATTTAGTGACAAAAACCTTTTAAAACTTGTCTATTTTATAGTTAAAAATTCTTGTCATAGTTCACAAATAAAATATTTTTTAAAGAGCGCCCCCCCCCCGATTGAGCGCCGCCCCCGAATGAACGCCGCATCTGAAGCTCTAAAAATTTAAAGAGCGCCCGGCGCTTAAACGAGTAAATTATTATTATTTAAAATTCTTTATACACGGTAGCTTATCAACCTATTTCTACTAAAAATATATATAGTTTTCTGATAGTGATAAAGTTTCAAATAATTGCTTTTCATAAGGCCGTGTAGAAATTTAAGCTAAGCAGTAGAACAACAATTATAGTAAATATCATGCATAAACAGGACATTATTACATTTATAATATTCCATAAAAAAAACCGACAAAAACATACACTCTAGTAACAGTTTATTGAAAAAGTGTTTTATAGCAGTCACTGGCAACTTGAAAAATTGTTCAAAATGAATTATTTTCGCGAATGAAATCTTGTAATTTATTTTTGAAAACTCTCTCAGAGATCGTGAGATTTTTCAATTGAAATACGGTACACTCCATCCTGTGCGACGATAATGCATGCAATACAATCTTTTCAACCGTTGTGTTACCGTCGCATTAAAAATATTGCTCGTGTATCCGAAGTTTTAAATCATTGCTCTATTTTTAGTGTCCGTTCGATTGCAACAAAGTATGTGTGGTGAAAGTAGGAAGTTTTTATAAATGCAGCCTTCCAATTAGCAAGTGTTGCAAGAACGCTTGTGTGTTTTATCACAAGTGTCTCCTGACTAAACTTGAATGGGCGTGTTATGCTGATACCTTGGATTATGTGTGCAAGTGCAGGAAACTTAGTACTATCAGTACCAAAGAATAGAAAGAAACACTGGCTTTCGAATATAACTTAACCAATTTATCAGTAGTAGCTTGACTCTTAAGATTATATATGTGTTCTTGTAGTGTAATGGATGCATACAGCTATTTCAATTAAGATTCTCCCCGAGCAAAGCGGAAAAGTCAAATACAAGCGCGACAGGCTGCTAGGAATCGCTAAAAAATTCATTAATTTTTTAGCGATTCCCAGCAAGCCTTTCGCACTCGTGTTCGACTTTTCCGCTTTGCTCGGGGACAACCTTAACTGAACTAGCTGTATACTGTTGTAGGTCAATTAGAATATAGTTCTAATGTACTTCTATACTGAAATGCTTAATTCTTTGAAAATTTGTAATGAATAATTAAATTGAAATTTGTAATAAATGAGTAAATTTTTAAACTAGAAGTTATCATCGCAAGGGAAGTGCTGCCATCATTGTTAAAAACCACTGCACAATATCTCGACCGAACTAAAAGTAAAATCAAAACTTTTTTGAAAGGAATAAAGCTCCTGCAGATTGTAAAATCTTTTCCTATAAAACACTGCAAATGGCACACTGTATACATGTATTATTTATTTCGTTGTCAAAAACTTGAGATTACAAAATTGTATTTATTGTAAATAGAAATTTTGTTTTGTCGAGAATGTTTGCAAACATGACACTCTTACTGAAAGGAGAGTTAAACCAAATGATGCTGCGTTGCCTATTTCTGCATGGTTGTGGTGGTGTTTCCTTCATGTAGCCTAGTTTGTGATTTAAATTGCTGTGTCGTAGTGCAGTTTGGTAAAGAGGTGAAGTCTCCCGAAATGTTTGCTCGTCTGATGAGAGAAGTGAGATGCTTATAGAGGGAATTTGTGAGAGAAGTGAGATGCACGCAATTTGTGATGAGAGAAGTAAGATGCGTTTGTTATACGGGAGGATAAAAAATATGTAATTTGTGTTTAGAGGAAAAACTCGGAAATAGTCTCGACATGTTATTATAAAAAGAAATTTTTAGTAAACAATGATGACAATGGAAGGAATGCATGTATTGTTTGACGCCCACGTTTCCAACCGTAAACATTTAAGCAGCCCACTTTTCGAAATTTGTCAGCCACCTGATGATTCCTCTTGCATGAAACAGGCTGTTGTGGCAACCTGTTGAAGTAAAACAACTATTTCTGCTCTATCTATTAGATATCGAACACTCATTAGCATTTCGTGAACCAAACCCCCATGTTATATTTTTTGAATGACAAAATAACATATGACGGTAAAGTCCCTTAAATTCCACTCATTCTTTTTATTTTCCCCTATTAATTTATTACATGCAGATTGACAAGTTTGTACTGATAAATTATTATTAACCATATAGAGTCACTTGGTCTATGTAAATAAATAAAGTTGATGGAATCTCGCCTACTTCAGTACCTTCCACATTATTTTCAGTCCACTTTCGTTTGAGGAAGAAAACGTAAGATTTCTTACCAGCTTATATATTACCTGGTGGATTTTGGTTTTGATCCTTTTTACCTGTTTGTTATATATATATATATATATATATATATATATATATTTATTTATATATATATTTATATATATATTTATATATATATAT